TTTTGAGTGCTCTCCAAACTTCCCGAGTGCACACATATACGCACAGATGAAGCATGAACTAATGGTTTTATAACATAATCAAAGCAATCAATACAGCAGTAACTTAAATTTTTATTATTGCAGCGCGCGCTCAAAGCAGTACGCGTCTACGTGACTATATTCTTTACGGAATACCTGACAGTGATGGTTTTGTCTTGAAACTGAGAGAGAGTTTACTCAAGTCGCTTAGGATAACATCAAAAAAGATTGTAAAATCCATATTGAGGTGCCGGAAAACTATTACTTCACTGAAAAATTCTTTTCCAAAGAAATAACTTTGCAAGCCTTGCAAAGAACGATTTGCACAGAGACAACAACAACAACAACACTCAATTCTTTTTCCCTACTATCGGTTAACAAATTCAAAAGTTTTCTCTTAAATTACCTCGTAGGACACATGGTAAACGCTTCATTGTTTACTGTTGAGTTATGGATGCACTTAAGAGACGTCTTGGGAGGATTGCTAAGCTCACATAGTTTATTGATGTCATTAACGTGCTCACGCTTTCGCCATTGAATTTGATTCGGCGAATATTCTACAATCGGCGACAAAATGAATTGAGACACTTCGCCGTAAACTGGGCTTTTTTTCGTTTTACTGACTGCAAAACGAGGAAATATAGCTTTTCCTCCCCTGTCCCCTCCATGCAATGTGGTGCCGATGTTCGAGCTACCTATAGAAAACAACGGATTTTACTTTATAATAATGACTTGCCTATAAACTGCTCGAAGAAACTATCATTTCGAATTTTTGCTGATGACGCAAATATGTTTTACACAAGTGATAAGTTACAACATCTTGAAACAGTCATGAATGAGGAATTGAAATTAGTTTTTACGTATATATTGATCAAAATTTACACTGGGGACCACAGATTCAACACAACACATGGACAACAAGCAAGATATTATGTAGATCTTCACACTTTAAGGCAGTTGTATTTCTCCTTTATTTATCCATATTTAACTCATGATATTACATTAGCTGGGGTAGTGCTTGTAAGACCAGGTTACATAACTTTAAAACGAAACAGAATAAATGTCTTCGCAGCACGTTCTTTACTTATAGCAGGGACAATGCTATGCCCTACTTCAATCTTTTAGCGCCAACGTTGAAGAGACAGGAACGTCACAACGAAGGAACTCTAACTGCATTAACATCAACGAAATCGCTCGTACCACAAGATGGATGCAATAATCACACACACGAGGGAAAACCGGCGCGCGCATATAATATAACGCAATGCCGCAGGGACTGCTTGTTGGCGCAACCTCTTCTTCCGCGTAAGTGAATGCGAACTACCTAAAAGGTGAGAACCGAGACAAAAGATATAGTGCCATAATGTAGAACAAAATTTGATATCAAACAGACTACGGTCTAACAGTCACTGCATGATAAAACTTATCGCTGCAGGATAAAACTTAACGACGTAAAGGCTAAAACCCAACATAGTCATTTAAGTACGAAGGTGGTTTGCGCTGTCTTTGAGGTCTTGAACCAGGAGTCTCAGGAGAACTGGGACAGGACGGCAGGGCCTGATCTGAGGCTGTCACACTTGTGCTGGGCTACTCCTGTAGAACAGGTATAGTGAGAACGCCAATAGGGGCATCAAAGGTAGTGTCATCACATGAGGGCGAAGGGAATTGCTCCTCGTCAGACGGCACGGACGTAAGCTCAGGCGGCGCGGGAGGAGGTGACTCTGGTGATACTGAGGCTGCAGGTACAGCCGGGGTTACCGGAGAAGGCTCGTCATCCTGGTCTTGAGAGGCCTAGAGACCAGAATGATCGGACACTATAACGGAGGGAGGTGTTGCCTAACACTCGGACAACTTCACTTTGTAGGAGGAGGCCCTCAGTTGTGAACCACTAAACTTCTTAACGAAGCACCAAAGAAAGTCAATGGAAACCGCGATATAGCGATCACGCGCGCGAAACTTGTCCTTATCGGAAATGAGGTACACAATGTCGCCAACGTGTAGAGAAGGCGTGTTTGGAACAAGACCGCGGGGGTTCTTAGACTTCTCACTGGAGGCATGGTTAGTGGAACGATGCTCGTGTCTACCAAGTATGAGGTCGTAATCAGCAACGGCAAATGTTCATGCGTGAACTGATTGCGTTGACTCCACAACTCGCGAGATGATAGGCCAGGAAGGCGAAGACGGGAGTTAATACCTGCAGTGGCGAGAGCAAGGCCAACTGCACTTACTGGTCTGCCATCGGGCTCTTGTCTGATGAGCTCTTCCTCAAGTTCACGGACAGCCTTCTCGGCGACTGGGTTCTTGTTTTTGTTCTAAGCTTCTTGGACGGGCGTGTGCCTTGATTAAGGTGGGCGCGTACTCTACGAAGGTCGGGACAGTCGTGTTGGATCTGTTGCCAGGCTGATCTGGTTGTGAACGGGAGATTAGACCTGCTGTTGAGGATGTCATGAATTGAGACGTTACGTACGACGGAATCCTCCAT